ACCTCATCATCAGGTTGCCATTAAGACTATGAAGAAGACCTTCGATTCATTAGCTCCATGTCTAGAATTGCGGGAAGTCATCTTCCTACGGACCCTACCCGCCCATCCACACCTCGTCCCAGCTCTCGACATCTTTCTCGACCCTCTTTCCCGCAAGCTACATATCTGTATGGAATATATGGATGGTAACCTCTACCAACTAATGAAATCACGAGACCACAAGCCGTTCGATGGGAAGCATGTGAAGAGCATCCTTTACCAAATTCTGTCGGGCCTTGATCACATCCACGCCCACCACTTTTTCCATCGTGATATCAAACCAGAGAACATCCTCGTATCCACATCCGCTCCGAGCGACTCCGCCTTCAGCCGTTACTCTAACCTAGTGACTCCCCCCTCAACCCCTCCAACATATACCGTGAAAATCGCCGACTTTGGCCTCGCAAGGGAGACCCATTCCAAGCTACCTTACACTACATATGTCTCTACAAGATGGTACCGTGCCCCTGAGGTCCTTCTGCGTGCCGGTGAATACTCCGCACCTGTGGATATGTGGGCGATTGGAGCCATGGCCGTCGAAATCGCTACATTGAAGCCGTTGTTCCCGGGCGGCAACGAAGTGGATCAGGTTTGGCGCGTTTGCGAGATCATGGGTAGCCCAGGTAACTGGTATAGTAAGTCAGGCACCAAGCTTGGCGGTGGTGAATGGAGAGATGGCTCCCGTCTTGCTCAGAAACTTGGATTCACTTTCCCCAAGGTATGTCACGCATAACATATAATGATCGAAATAGAAATTGACCATTTGTGCAGATGGCCCCTCATTCAATGGAAAGCATCCTCCAAGCACCCCAATGGCCGACGTCTCTCAGCCACTTTGTCACTTGGTGTCTGATGTGGGATCCCAAGAATAGGCCAACTTCGACACAGGCATTGAATCATGAATACTTTGCAGATGCCGTTGACCCATTGAGGCCGAAGTCCTCAACTGCCCGATTGTTGGGTCGGAAAACTTCTGACAAGAGCTTCAAGTCTCCTACTCGGGAAAACAGTGACTCGCCCTCTCTCACATCCAAGTCGTCATGGTTCAGGAGATCATTGATCGGAAGGTCTGATAGCGACAACGAACAGTCTAAACAGCCTGTTGTCTCCTACAGCACAGCCCCTGAGACTACTAAAAGTAAGCCTGCGCCCAGTAAGCGTGCCACTTGGGCAAATGGGGCCCCGATGCCTATCTTGCCCTCGATCCGCCCGGTATCCCCCCTTTCCAATGCAGTCACGGCACAAGCGAATTCATGTGTTGCCGGCGACAACGCAAAAGCGAGCAAGAAGATTGGCAGACAGCTTTCGCTTAACTCCCATGGCAATCACTACGCTGATGTCCATAGGCAAGAAGCGGAGAGGGCTTTAAATGGTGGAAATCCTCTTATTGGTGCCAACCAAAAGGAGAGCTTTTTCTCCCACCTTCGCAAACGTGCTCGTAGGCTATCCGGCCGTAACCAGGGAAACGTGGGAAACGATGATGTTGAGGCTAATGCTGGTTGTATGCCTTGGTCGAATCGTTCATCTTTGGCCTTGGACACTGCCAGTGCTAACGACGCCAAGCAAGGCTCTGATTTGTCGGAACTGGACAAAGCCCTTCAGGGCGTGAAATGCTCTCTCGATTCGACTGCACTCGGCAATGTCCCTGTCCATATTACCTCGCCCGTGGAGGGCATAAAGAGGCAGTCTATGCCTCAAGGGTCTATACGATCGATGGGAGATAGCCCCGTTTCGACCAGTGGTACTGGTGCGCCAATTTCCAGCCGAACTCGGCGTGCGCTGCAGCTCTCAAGTCACCCTGTTCACCGCTATGAAACACCAGAAGAGGAGGATGAGCTTCTTGATGAAGCATTACACTCGGCAAGCAAAGCTGCGAGGCGACTAGCACAGACCGAGGCATCGTCCGATGGGTCATCGAATTACAGTCACCAGGCCATGGGAAATGACAACTCGCGAGCCTTGCCTAGCCCCTATCCTACCCCCTCTCCTTCAGCAAAATGTGACGGTGTTTCTTTTGGCCACTCTGATGCCACTCCGATTAGGCGACTGGGGCTTCCCGATGGCAAGACAGACACTGTCACAAGTACTCGCCAATGGCCTACCCCACCTTATGAGGATGGGGACTGGAGCCATTCAGGCGCTACCTTCATGACAGGGTCGACCTATAGGTAGTTCGCCCTTTGAGCGTTGTACCATAGGTGGATGTCGTGTTTTGATATTTGATTCCCAGTCTTGTTTGAATTTATCAAAGAGAGAAAAACGGAGGAACGCACGGTAATTGGCGATCTAACCAAGCATGGCGTACAGGATCTGGTGTCTTGTGTTCTTTCGTTTTTCCGGTGGTTGGTGTTTGTCTTTTTTTTTCCCATTACCTTTTTTTGTTTCTTGTGAAAACATCTTCTCTCACTATATTTGCATGGGGCAAGGATTAGCCCGGGTTCCTTTTCATTTGTCTTTATTGTTGTCCTCATACCCCAAAGGCCTTTATAGATATAGTCGGCCTCGCAACCTGGTTTCGGCATGCGGTTTTCATATCTTGTCTTTCGTTTTGCGGTGTTCTTGTTTGCACATTGTTTTGATACCAAATGCGCGAGTCGCGAGGTCTGCTATCGTTCCTTATATATATACATATATGCATTGTTAACCCAACGTGTCTTATTCCCTACCAACAGTTTTTTGTTTTCTTTTGTCACATCCTGTCATCATTACCTCTGGTACACTTCCTAAGCATCTTTCCCTAGCCTCTCCTTTTTTCTCTTATATCCCTTATCCTCACCTGCCGCTCATTGCACCTCACCTAGGGAATTGATGCGACCTCTGTGCAAAATTTTCGATTCACCTCATGTACAATTTTCTTGTTGCTGGGAAGGACCACTGGTGGCTAGTCTTGGGCTCTACACCTTGTAATATAGTACTTATATGCGGCTGTCACGCCGTCTGTTTATACATATATACTTAATCGAATAGGCTACAAAGTGCTCTGTACTTTACATCATATTGTTTACCTTGTTTGCGTAGGGTCGTCAGTAGTGGCAGTTGATAAGCGTTGATGGGAACGGTCGACCGGGCCGGGAACAACGATTGTCCGCGTTTCGCAGAATTTCTGTAACAGGTAGTACTAATTTGTTCCTGTGTAGCACCTTATCTTAACATCCACTATGGACATTCTGCTCCCGTGAATAGATCGCATATTTATTACGTATTGCCATTGTCTTCCCAGAGAGGCCGCCATTACATTGGACTGACTGGTAGCCTGGGACTGAAAATAACTCCACTTGCTCACGGCCGCGGAGCTATCAGATTGTGAGACAATATCTACATAGTTCAGAATCTTTCATTTCTTTCTGAACCTCAATTTTTTCTTCAATTTTTTCTTTTTCTTTTGTCTTTCGTTGTCTGCTCCAATGGCGGCCCAAAGGCAGGCCTCGTCCGCTTCCCAAACCCCACATATCTCGCCTGCAGAGCTTTCTTATCTCTGCACATCTCTTGCTCTTCCAGGTAGCCCAATTCGACCAGATGGACGCTCGGCGACACAGTTTAGGCCCTTGACAGCAGAGACCGATATCCTCCCCGGAACTAACGGTAGCGCGCGTGTCGGTTTTGCGGACGGCACTCAAGCAATCGTCGGAGTAAAGGCGGAAGTAGAAAAGACAGTGATCTCGGCAGATGCGCTCAAACTGCCGCAACAGACACAGGAAGAATACGCAGGGAATAATGACGGCGAGGGAAACCAAGGGTCGGGTTCGGGACATGGGTCATGGGTGCAGATGTCGATCGAGATCCCAGGGTTCAGGGATGACGACGCTCTGCCAGTTTTCTTGTCCGAGATGATGCGAGAGCCTTTGGTTGAGTCTGTATCAAGTGAGGGCTCTGGGAATGGCGAGATGGCTGGTGGGCTCAAGGGAAGGCTGGTGATCAACAAACGGTGGCACTGGCGATTGTATATTGATGTAAGGTGTTTGTTCCATTTCATGTGGACCGTCGACTCTAATGCTGTTGATTTAGGTTCTTCTTCTCTCCCAACCTCAATCATACCCGCTTCCACTATTATCCTTAACGACTCATCTGGCGCTCCTGTCGACGAAGCTTCCGAAGTTGAAGTCACAAGGCGAGGAAGATCCGTTTTTCGACGATGATTGGGATGCTGCAGAATATCTATATCCACGCTCTACTTCGACGACATCCCCTACTCCTTCCCAACAAGTTCGCCCCCCAGTAACATTGCTCGTTGTCTCTGTAGGCGAAAACATTATATTCGATCCTGATAGAGAGGAGATTGCTGTTGCTGATACGGTTTTGGCCATTTCTATCACTCGGGATCACGACTCCGATAGCCTGAAGCTCGTTTCCATCCGCACGGTCGATCCTCCTTCCAGGTTAACACAACCTGGTGTGCCTAACTCGGAAAATGTGACTACGTTAGGTTCCACGGCTGCTGCTGAAGAAGCAGCCATTTTGAACCCATCCACAGGCGAAGAAGAGGTTCCGGGAGTTTGGAGGCCCCGTCGTGGAGGGGTGAAGAGAAGCACGGTTGCTCGCGTCGTTAAACTCGTGCTCGAGAAGGGCGGTGTTGGTGAGGAGGTTCTCGAGGGTCTCGAGGGTGTTCAAGTTGGGTGAATGGATTGATGCGTCACTTCATTGTCCCGAATACCGATGACATCGTGCCCTACGTGCGCCCTCTATTAGTCTTCTACCATGTAGTCCTTGTCGGCGGAGATAGAAATGCTCGGCCGATGTATGCGCATCGATACTGATTCGCTACAATGTAGGAGCAGAAGGTCTTCTGTGCTCTTTGCGGAAATGCCCTGGTAACAGGACCCGAGGCATCTTTTTACAGTTCCGAATCGGCAGCCTGTTGACAAAGGTGGATCATCACATCAAATGACAGATGTCATGTACATAATGAATAATACAATGCTAAGACAAAATCCAAAAGATATGCAAAGCTAATCTACATAGTATGCTCTTCAGCATTGTTTATACATCCCAGTCTCTCAATTACCCAACCTCCAATCCACAACCCCAATACCAGCTCAGAAAAGGTAGCTCTACCAGATCCCCAACCACTTCTTGACAGGCTTCTTCTTTCCCTCCCAATCAACATATTCTCCACTTCCTTGTTTTGTCTCCGCATCAGCAGCTATCGGAGACTGATCATCGACCACCTCAGTCTCAGCCTTGCCCTGCTCCTCAGTCGGCTCCTCCAACCCATGGGCAATCCGGTACTGCCGTCTCTTCTCCGCATCCTCGATCCGCTGATGCCGCTTCTCCCTCGTCTGCACGGAGGTATGCTGCACATGCATGCGGAAAACAGCCAACGCCTGAGAAATAGTATCAATGGGGTGCCAAAGAAGATCCGACCAAGACGGAAGCAAGTGCGCAAACGGTGATGACCGCTTAAAGTTCGTCGTGAAGGTAAACGTAGCCAAAGTTGTAAGTACGCTCTAAACAATCACATCCAATTAGCATCAAGACAAATGTTGAACCTTCACCGCCACATAATCCAAAAAAAAAAAAAATATTACCATAGCAATCCAGATATGAATCCACCGGTTCGTCAGAAACTTATGCATAACGGTGCCCTCGGGTGGGAACATATTCGGATACTGCTTGCGCTTCTGCTCCTCCCTCTCTTTTTCCGTGAGCTTAGGACCGTAGTTGATCGGCTCTCGGCCGATGACTCTTCCATTGCGTGTCTGCACAACCCTGCGCGCAGGGTGTGATGGCGGCCGGAATTTGTCTGGCTGTTCTAGGACTCGCGGCTTGCTGTTGTCTGATGCGCAGCGTCGGGTCGTGGGCCTGATGCGGTGGTGGGTTACGTTTGCGCGTGTGAGAGATTGAAAGGCCCGTGTAGACGGGATTCCCCGCGGTAGGAGGAATTGTGGAATTGTGACCGGGGCCATTGCTGTGCGTGTTGTTTGGGAAAAGATGTTGGAGGTGGAGTTGATGGCTTTGCGGAGTTGGGACTTTTTTCCACTGGTTGATGCTGATGTGTTGATCACGTGACTTTGACTATTTACGTTAGGTTTGTTTGATGGAACTTGAACTTTGGACATTTGACTCTCTCTTTTGATATTGATCTTCTAGAAGGCCGATTGAAATATATATTGCTCCTATAGCTACAGAGGTACTACAAAACTGGGGTGCTGTGATACCTCCGCAGTCGACCGCATATCACCAAACAAGCATGCCTTTATTCTCGACACTCATTGTCTACTCGAGAACTATTTAATAATGTTACACATTTAAATTTAGCGACTCAAATGGCCCATTATTTCGAACGCAGTTGATGCCATTGCCTGACAGTCCCACAAATGCATAAACAAGGATTGCAAGGAATTGACCATAAACTGCTCCTAATATGGAGCGAGAGAGTCTGACACAACTCAAGACATCTCCCAAGTTAATAGGCAGACCCCACCCAAGATTTTAGATACTTCATTCACATATCGTGATGGAGTAAGCCAGCATATGCTGTTCTCTCCAAACATCTCATTATATGTCCCGGAGAAGCACCTTATCAAGTTCCTCGGCTAGGGCTCTCAATGTCATGCGCGGCGATCAGAAGTTCGGCGGAACATGTCAGGCTAACTGTAATTACAGCCTGGACCTGTTTCAATAGTTTCTGTATCATTTGACGTTGATCGGCAATACACCCAGAGGTACATAGTTCTAGAACATTCAACTGAAGTCCCAGTAGGGTAAGGGAGTAACGGTTATTTGTTCATACTATCTGGCATGTTCCAAGCAGTTATTTGGTATGTCTTTATAAGCTCGACGGGAAACAACACGAGATTCAAGCGAGCTTGCTTTCCCTACCCAGTTGCACTTGGATGCGTTACGTTGCAGTCGTTAGCTGAAAATTCCACGTACAATAGACAAGATGGCGTATGTGTAGGGTCAAAGCGGATATTCTCCTCGTTCTTCGAAGCCCAATGCTGTATTGCAGCTGTCAAGTGAGGCGACGGAAGTCCATCTTCTATGTAGAACTAAAACCAGGGAGCTTGATGCGAGGGTCCATCAGCTCAGATTACCACTCCTAGGGGGAAGGAAAGTGAAAACAGGAAGAGGTGTGGAACTATCAATACACCTGGAAGGGTCATATACTACTTCGTGCAAGAAGCTTAGTTGAGGGTGACGGAGAGAAGGGTCCAAACGAATTAGATGTCTGTAATTAAGTTTCCTCAAAGCATCGAATAGCAGTCATTGGGCTACTATGCTTCTGCTGTTGTTCTAGAAGGATGCCTACAAGGCTGGGCCAAGGGATTAATCCACACCAGGCGACCGTCCAGGAAGAGGGTATCGTGGGCTCCCCATCTCGACAAGTTCTATTCATTGAATGTTCTGGTCTTAGGTAAAGAAGGGATATAACTGCCTCAGGCTCCGACCTCAATTCGGGCCAAAGGCGGCGGCCGGACACACAGACCAGTCATGAGAATTCTGCCCGTTGGGGAACAAATAGCAAGGCAGGCATTTCCAAGGCCGGGTCCATCCATTTCCACTCCGGCCCAGTTCTCCCCGTAATCTTTTGTTGGGTCAAAGTTGAACAAAACACCGTCGAGATATGAGATCATACCTATGTAAAACCCGGCTTTTGCGAAATGACCATGACTGACACTCATATCAATAGTACTGTAAAACCAGAATGTTATAAGGAGTCGATTACCGTACCAGACAGCTTTTTATCCCCGGGTAATGTAAGCGATACGTAACATTGTTGCATCTTTTGAGTAGTGGTATGGGACGTCTTCTCCCCCATAAAATTGCAGAACCAAGGAAACAAAAATAGGTGCTGAAAAAAGACACCGGTTGTTTCCCTTGTCCCGAGAGAGCCCGTTGAGTGCTGAATCATCCGGTCGCTGATTGGCCAAGGCTCGAATCACGGGAGGCATCGGGGGCGAAGACGGCGCTTTGTACAAATTGCTGCGATCGCAAGTTTTTCTTCCTGCCCGGTTTTTTTTTTTCCTTCCTTCAATTGATCTCCTCAATTAGCTTTTGGGATACCCTCTTTTTGTATACTATCCTTTCAACACCTTTTCAGTCTTTTTAGACTTTACTACACACTTTCACAATGGGCAAGGACGCTGGTTTCGCTCCTGGTAAGCTACATCCCTCACTCCCTGGCTGGTTGTTTCCCCGTTGTCGAGCGCGTCCCATCCCGTCATTCACTGCTGGTGTCCAAACAACACGAATTGCTTCTTGCGATGAAGTGAATGATGGCTACTGCTGTTCGAGTAGCACAATCTCCCCAGCAGCTCTGTGTTCCATTTTCTCGAGAGTGAACAGTCTGCGATACATGTCTTCGCATCCCATTGATTGAAGCACCACATATCTTTGAATGCGTCCACAATACCCAATCATCCAGACCAACATGACCAGCTTTGACACTTTCTGTCTCCTTACTGTCATTGACATGCGCGAGGCCGAACTTGAGGCCGCGGAGAAAGCGAAGCAGGCGGCTAACATCCATATTCCTCCAGGTGACTCTGCCAAGGGTGCCAAGCTCTTCCAGGTAAGTTAAGATCGAATCATAAAGAGAATCGCTGCGCAGTGTCTAACATGATATATAGACTCGCTGCGCTCAGTGCCACACTGTCGAGGCGGACGGTGCCAACAAGGTCGGCCCCAAGCTCCACGGTCTCTTCGGCCGCCAGACCGGTTCCGTTGAGGGCTACGCCTACACCGATGCCAACAAGCAGGCCGGTGTCACTTGGGATGAGAACACTCTGGTATGCACTATGCTCCACACTTGCGAGCTATCTTGAATTGCAGGCTGACGTACTTGACCTAGTTCAAATACCTCGAGAACCCCAAGAAGTTCATCCCCGGTACTAAGATGGCCTTCGGTGGTCTCAAGAAGGGCAAGGAGAGGAACGACCTCATCACGTATGTTTACTCGCCATGGCTTTCTGTTCAAAGAGCTCTTATGCTAACCGTTCTTGCTCCACCAGTTACCTCAAGGAGAGCTGTGCTTAAATTCTCCTTTTTACGTGAATAAAATTCTTTCTTCCACCCGGTTCAAGCGGCTTGTCGCATCGGATCTGATACGTTCCCAGATCCTCGGCATTTTGACGGACAGGGCATGTAATATTACTCAATACCTTGTTTACTCGCAATAGACGTGATTTTTCCTTTGTGCTCAGGATTTGCGGGTTTCATAGAGACGTGTTTCCTTCACGATTTTGTCTATGTTGGCCCATAACCTTATCGCATTTCCCTCTCGATGGTCATGTTTTTCAGTTTTGTGTACCATGGTTAAGTTTCAGGCCATAAGGCTGTAATGAATAAAGATATCTCCTCTCATGACGACAGTCTTCACTCCCTCGCCCTTGTTTGAACTAATCGCAGATAGCCGTTGAGTTCCTGTGATTCAACCACGTGCGTCATTTGGTTCGTCACGTGGATGTATGGAAATCCCGATTCGGGCACTTTGCGTTGGGCTTTATTCCCGAGATGTTTAACGCTCACTTACCGGCCGTTGCCTTGACCCGACTCGAACGAGGAGCCCCTCCTCGAGGTTCTTACGGTGTGAAGATGATTTCTATCTAGGAGTTATCATGGTCCACTCGGACGAATTCTGTCCTATCGTCCTGGACCAGCAGTAGGAGTCATGGCAAACTGGCGGTCGATCCCTACCGGCCGTGGGTGCTATTGGTCCGGCGGATTGGGCTTGATTTCTTGAGGGAACATCGCAACCAGTGTTTCAGTGACTAACCACGACGATATCTTACCACTAGTCTAGAGCAAACCTACCAGAGGGTACCTATCCCCAAGGACAGGACAGTAACTACGATGGACCTGTACGGAACAGTACGGGTCTGGAACCCGTTGGCACATGACCCCCTGGACTGCCCACCGCCATTGGCCCAGCCACCACCTGCGCCCCTCTCTCGCTCTCCCGATAAAACAACTCAAACCCCAAAGAGCGATGCGAGGGGGGTATCGCTGGTTCATTCTCCTTCGGTACCTGGACACGAAATAGAAAGGAACACGAACCGCATTCCTTTGAGAACGTGAATGAATACTCGCAGAACACTTAATGATATATTGTTGTTGGCTGATTCCAAGTCGTCGAACTAACGGCATTTACAGCGGACTGCTGATCACTGTGCCACAACGGTTCTAATGCAAGCGCCTCTGTAACTGCTGCAAGTACTCCGTATCTACTACCTACCCCGGGAAAGCGAGCGTGACTTGTCGCAACCCACTTAGTCGGTCGCTCCGTCCTCAGGCATCAAGGCCTCGTCCGCTGGCATCTGCTCCCTTTCGCATTCCCATGTCTTGCGTCTGCCCATTCCTGTACCTTCGTTCTGACCTGCAGACTACTCTTCGTTACTTGTCTTTTCCTACCTACCACCTGTTTACCTTCTCCCCGCCTCTTATCGCGACAGCGCATAAGACCGATCCCACCTCGTCTTAGTGCGCTTGCGACTAACCCCTCCACAAGCTATCACCTTACCGCGACAATCTAGGAACTGTCTCGTCCACTCAAAGTCGTCGCTTCAGCGTCGCGAAGATTGAAGTGGCTCTGATAACGTCGTATAGGTTGTGCGCAACGCCGTCCACCATGTTGGATGAGCTGGATAACGTCTTTGACGAGCATCCCTCATTGGATGCGTCGCTCGAGGACTTTGAGAACCCAAGTAATGCTCACCGTTCTCCGGTGTTTGGTCTACCATCACAACATTCAGGATTTCGGTCAGAGGAATCCGACGTGGAAGAAGATGACATGACTCCCAACGGGGAGCGCTGGTCACCCCCAGGGTTCCGGAGATATGACTACGTCCAAGGCAGTGGATGGTACCGCCATCAGCCCTATTTGCGCAAGGTCGATCAAGATCGGTTAGGACTAAAGCCCACTGTGGGGCTAAGTCCGTCGCAATCGCGAGAGCCTAGCCCGCAGTACGAAGACGCTCTCGAGGACCCCATGACCGGTAAAAGGAGTAATTCTACTGATACAGGGGACCTTACGATCGCTGCCAATGTTCCGCTGCCGATAGACCCAGACTCACCCCACAAGGCTCGGTCACCTAGTCCACGCCGAGCACCGGAGACAACCCCCGCCCCGGAAGGACTGGAGTTTGGCTCGGAAAATAATCTAAGCAATTGTAGGCTTTATCTCGGTTTGAACCCTGTCCAGCATGCTGGCGCGGGATACTAACGAGTGGGCCTTTCTCAAGATATCCGGTTCGCTGTGCGCGCAGAAGTTCAGCAGCGCGAACCCTTTGTCGCATTTTTTAGTTACTTGCGATCCAAATTCGATAATGTCACTAGCTCCAAATCCAACACCACCATTTCCATTCTGGTAGCCCTACTATCCATAGCATTCATGCGCGCCTTGTTCTTACCCAGTGTACCGCAAGCAATTCCCGACCTGGTGAAACTGTCGGGCTTTGCGCGGTCTTTTGAGCCTCTGATATACTATTCAGAGAATGGCGTACAGCAGATAGGGACGTTGCAGGAGACCGGTGTTGCTGTCTGGGATCTGAGTGAGTCTGTTCGTGGTACCAACATGACCAGCGCGCCGATTATCGTGCGCCAGCTGGATGAGTTGTCCGAGTCCCTGAAGTCGCTGTCGTTGGAGTTGACGCGCTTTTTCGCCAATGTGGACTCGGACGTCGACTCAATCTTGCTCGTCATGGATTGGGCCAAACGGGAGCTGGAGACATTATCGTCCCAACCGCCCAGCACGCTACCTTCTATCATGCTTGACAATTTGCACGATCTTTTGGCGCGACTCGGCACGCTAGAGCGTGTCACCGTCCCGGATGGGGATGGTGTTGGTGGCGAGCTAAATACTCCGACCACCTTTGGCCACGTTGTAACTGCGTTGTTCGGTCAGACATCGGCTCAGCGTACACGCTCTACCCTCACACGGACCTTCACTGAGTTCCTATCGGTACTTGAAGAGTCTATTAATAGTGAGCTGACACACTCAACCGCGCTCTTCGCGCTATTTGAATCTATTGATCGCCAGTTTCTCAATATTCAACGTACGGTTGTGCGTGAGTCAGATGCCCAGGAGCGGGCTGAAGGTGAAATGCTCAGCTCTCTTTGGACCCGTGTTCTTGGGCCCGACGCAGCCGTTGTGCGGAAGTATGAGAAGAACAAACGGTTACTGGCTAATGTCCGTAGCCGGACGGTCGCTAACAAGCATCTCCTCATGGACCACCGCGGCCGGCTGCTTACTCTTAAGGTCAACCTGGAAACTCTACGACGAAAGCTTGTCAGTCCGCTCGTTCGACGCAACGATTCCGTGAGCTTCGCTGGTGCTATTGATTCAAGTAGTGGCCGGAGTAATGGTCGGATGCTAGGGCCGGTTGAGGCTGTAATTGAAGGCCAGATTCGTGGATTAGAGGGCAGCTATGATTACCTTCGATCTGTCCGGGAGAAGCAGAAAGCCAAGTTAATGGAGATGGTATATGGATCAGGACGAAAGCTACCGACCCACTCTATGCTTGCCGACGGATCAGATCACTCAGGGTCCGATACCATCGAAGGGATCTGACAACGAAGCTGAGATCTTATATATTCGCAGCATTTCCGTTACGCCTATCCTCATTAGCCTGGCTTTCCTTCTCTCACATATTTCACATTGTATTTCATGGCGTTAGTCCGTCTCTACGCTCATTTGGGATTGGCGTCACGGGTTACTACTTATGCTCGGTCTGGTCTGGTCTACTTGAGCGTCTCCACTGTTGGGTCTTTGGTGCCTGGCGTCTACAACTGCGGTACTAGGTCATCGCTTCTCTCATTTCCTCTTCTGCATTGACTGGCGAAAGCGAGGCAAAAGCGATAGACGCGTTGCTTGACCATTTCTATTCTTTCTGTGACTTCTTTTCGGAACCTTAACTGAGGATGGTTTATTCGGTGTTTATATTCTGGTTCTCGGGTTAGTGGATGACTGGAAGGCATTTCGTGGTGTATGGGTTTGTCATTAGTTCTCAATTTAGCCAGCTCTCCTTTTTCTGTCTCACCCCCAATAGGCGTGACCATTCCAAATACGAGTAGGCACATCTTGAAGTGTATTGACACGCCCAGTCGTGCATGGACTGCTTATATAGTATGTACAATCCCGTCGGCGACTAATTTCCCCGACCCGGAATGTTTTGTATTGATTCCGCATCGGCATAAGTCATCCAACTTCACCTGCTCCCACCCTCGTAACTAATTCCACTGCTCCATTCGGGGGTAAATTTTGCATCGACATGCGCCTCTTGGCCACAGGCAGGGCGCTGCGCGCCACCAGCAGCAGGTGGGCAATCGGCAGGAACGTGCGCATTCCGTTCTCGCATGTCTCGCACATCTCGGACCCTCTCCGCAGAGCCTGGAGCTCAACACCAGCTCTGAGAACCCAAGAATCTACGAACCCGGATCAGAAGCCGGATCCTCGGGTCTCCATCAAGAAGCCATCTTTAACAATTGAAGATAAATCTTACCCCACAGACCAATGGACCAACACTCCCGATACGATCCTCTCCCACGTCGGAAGGCGTCTCTACCTCGACGAGAACCACCCCCTCGCCATTACCCGGAAGCTAATCGAAAGTCAGTTCCCGGCTCCCGTGTACGGAAACTACCACGAGAAGAGTCCCGTTGTTACGACCGCGCAGAATTTCGATGTCCTCGGTTTCCCGCTGGATCATCCCGGTCGTAGCCGCACGGATACCTACTATGTCAATGAGAAGACAGTGTTGAGAACACATACCAGCGCGCACCAGCAAGCATACTTTCAACAGATCAACCGAAATGAGAAATCACGTCCCGAAGAGGTTGGGTACACCGTTGTCGCGGACGTCTATCGCCGGGATGCTATTGATCGCAGCCACTACCCCGTTTTCCATCAAATGGAGGGTGCCATGTTGTGGAAACGACCCGACATTGAGCCATTAAAGGCTGCGAAGGAAACGGCCGCCAGGATCACGGACGATCTCAACCGCATCCCGACTCACGACGTCGCCGTCGAAGACCCGAATCCCACCATCCACGCAGAGCGCAACCCACTCCAAGCAGAGCACCACAGCGCGGAGGAGGTCGAGGCCATCGCAGCGCACCTCAAACGCTCTCTCGAGCGAATGGTGATCAAGATCTTCACCGAAGCTAGCAAAGCCGCCGCCGCCGCCAACGGCAGCGACTCCAGCGAACAGGAACCACTAAAGGTCCGCTGGGTGGAAGCTTATTTCCCCTTCACCAGCCCGTCCTGGGAACTCGAAGTCTTCTGGCAAGGCGACTGGCTCGAGATCCTAGGCTGCGGTGTCATCAAGCAAGAGCTACTGATCAACTCCGACGTGCCCAATCGTATCGGATGGGCCTTTGGTCTTGGCCTCGAGCGCATCGCCATGCTCCTCTTCAACATCCCAGACATCCGACTCTTCTGGTCCCGCGATGAGCGCTTCCTCTCCCAGTTCAAGGCGGGCCATATCTCCCGCTTCGAGCCCTTCTCCAAACATCCTGCCTGCTACAAGGATGTCGCCTTCTGGCTTCCTTCTGCGTCCGCTAGCGGCGGTAGCGCTGCCGGCGGCGCGGTGCCAGTCCACGAAAACGATATCATGGAGATCGTCCGTGGCGTTGGAGGCGATCTGGTCGAAGACGTCCGTCTTATTGATGAATTTACGCACCCGAAGACGGGCAAGAAGAGCATGTGCTACCGGATCAATTACCGCAGTCTGGAACGCACGTTGACGAACGAAGAGACTAATGATCTCCATGATCAAGTGAGGGAGAAACTCGTTGGCTTGCTGGGTGTTCAGTTGAGGTAATCGATTTAATCGGAATGTGTGTCATGTGGTACGGATCCTTGTATAATATCCCACGGTTATTTTATGATTGGTCCCCAGTGTGTCTTTATCTGTACAGTATCTCGAAAATAAAATTTCTGTCTCGACTTTAAGTTCGATGTTAGCCTGCTGCCTATTTGAATTAAATAATGGACTAGGAGTGTGTTGCATATGCTATTCTTGTGAAGGTTTAAATCATTTCAATCGAGTAGTTCAACTGGCCGGACTCTTGTGGCTTGGATATATGCAATATATTGAGACGTGCCCTTTGATAGACTGCGTGAAAGGGTACTGGATACAAGATCAGTTTAGCACTGTTCTTATCAGAATTGAAACAGAAAACATCACCTCGTTTTGATGAGAACGCCCTTAGATATAGCTATAAGAGTATTTCAAGAATCAAATATATATATACCATGTCTATAGGAAGAACATAAAAGATCATCCGGCGATATTGACCTAGAGCGAAAAGTCTTGAACTATAGTTAATTGAGACAACTGTTGTGCTTTCTATCGCCGCCGCCGAGGAAACGGGGGCATACCTAGTACTCCACCGCATAGTTCATATCAAAGTCTACAACGCCGTCTAAAATTACCCATGGACGAAGGAAAAGAAAGATAGACAGAATGATAGTAATGACCGATCCAGTCAATCATCTATTAATGTAGATCATCATGACCCGTTACCGAAACGACCCAGCCCAACAAACAAGCAAGGAAAGGAAAGGAAAGGAAAACCCAGGATCCAATGCCGTGCAAGTAGCTCATATCCAAAAAAAATTTGCCAATTAGACCACCCTTTTTTTGTAGAATGACAAGACCAGATCATTGCATGTATAATACAGGTATAATGTGAATATAATGAGAGGTGAGAGGTGAGGTTCAAACGCCAGACATGAACACGGAAAAAAAAAAGAAAAGAAAAGAAAAAGACACACGAAAGGAGGGCGGATCGTAACCCTTCCAATTGTATGCAAACAAATAACGGGTGTATCATACACATGCATTCATAGAGAAAAGACGTGGTATCAGGGTTGGGATTACCGCAATTGTTTATTCCTCGCCATGATGAAAAATATTTGGTATATTATACAAGTAGAATAAGAGATTGTAAAGTTGCGTTTCGGGGAGATTGGAGTCGACATGCTTGTATGGGTGATTGATTTAGTCGTTCTTGACAACGCCGACCTTGGCAGCCTGGAGAGGTGTCTCGTTAATATAGTGAACCAATGGAGATTACTATGATAGGGCGGGGGTTGTGCTTACTCTCAAGACACGGCCGTTCAGCCTGAAGCCCTTGCTCTGAGTGTACATGATCTCACCGTTCTCCTTGCCCTCAGCCTTGGCCATGAAGGTAGCCTCGTGCATGTTGGGGTCGAACTTCTGGGTCTTGCCGTCTTCAGCAGGCTCGCTTGGGTCGAACCTCTCCAGACCGTGCTTCTTGAGGGCGTTCATCAAAATATTCTGAGTCATTTTCAGACCGGAGACGAGATCCTTAATGTCCTTGTGTTCAGGCTCGTTGGAGTTGAGCTTGGCCTCGGGCACAGCCAGGAGGGCACGGTCGAAGTTGTCAATGCTCTCGAGGAGATCAACGGCAAAGCGTTGGATAGCGAAGTTGCGCGCGTTGTCCATATCACGCTTGGTGCGCTCCTGGAGGTTGAGGAAGTCTGCGACTGAGCGGACATACTTGTCCTGTTGTGTGGCAGGTTAGGGATGTGAAGAATGGTTTGTATATAAAATAAAATAGCTCGGGATAATCGAGACATGAGAAGCATCATTGATAGCTTACCTTCAAATCAACAACCTCCTTCTCCTTCTTTTCAAGCTCCTTACGAACGGCATCCTCGGGGCTCTGGGACTCCGATTCAGCATTCTCATTCTTCTCCTGCTTGCCCTCTTCGGCCTTGTTCTCTGTGGAATAGTTGCGCAAGCCAGGCAAAGGAGCAAGTGGACGGAGGGATTGCGGCTGGAATTGTGACGTGCGGCGGAGCGCCGATGGTGCTGAAGACGTCGAACGGACGGAAAGGAGAGAGCGGGCGGCTTGAGCCTGTCTGAGGATGGTGCGCTGGAACATTGTGAAGGGAGAGCTTTTAAGAAAAAAGTGAGCAATTGCAGGTGAAGGAAGTGATATGGAGCTGTCGTGCTAGGAGGATGGGACAGTCAGCGGTATCGCTAGAAAAGCAGATATTTTGGCATAAATCACCTGACCGCCTTGGCCGGTTGGGAGGAAAATCCTCGGGCCGATGCGCCTTGGTTGTTCTTCTCTATGCGGAGTTACTATGTGGTAATCGATATTGTAATAGAAATGCTGTGCAGTTAGTACTCGAGGGCCCTAGGCTGATTATAACGTATGGCTTACTGTTACCAAGGGAGGCAAATGAATCATCATGGTGATACGTAGTCACATTTAGGAAGCAGACTGTTTCGGATAGACCAACTTTCGCGGCTTCCTTTGGTGCAATTGATGAATCCTTCAGACTCCGAAGTGTTCTTTTGTAACATCTATGCGAAATACTTTGTCGTCTGTTCTACTGGCCAAGGTTGAATAGGTAGAGAAATAAATTGAAACGGAAAGAGACGAGTGGTTCATGGTCAAATATCGAAAACAAGAAGGTATATGATAATAAGCAGACGAATCAATACCAGAAAAAGGATTAGTCAAGACGGCGTGAAAGTGAAAGCTATATACACAAATAGGTTTCTCGCCTCTCTCAATCCCCTTTAGAAAGCCAAACCGACCGCGGACCGACGATACGTCGTGTAGTAATTGTGATCGAGTTCATCATATCCGTTCTGCGGATGCTGATGCTGCTGTTGACCTTCGAAGATAGTTGGGTAGATGGTGGGCTCATCAACTTGTTTAGTTATATAGGGACTAGAAAAGGACATAGGCCCGTCCAACTCCTTTTCCAGACGGGGATCAATGTGGTGTGAACGAGCTGGGGTGATTGCTGTAGTATTGCTGGATAAAGATGGGGTAGTCTTGAAGCCCCCTGTTAGGCTCGTCAGACTTGATGTGATAGTTGAACCACTGAGGGTACGAGAGCGGATGCGGAAGGGGTTTTTGTCGGTGAAAGTGGACTTCCAAGGGGATACGGAGGAAGAGAAGGGGGAGGCCTTGTTGCTTGACTGGAAGAGCCATTGGGTGACGCGGCCGGATCGGGTGGGTGTTGTTGTTGCTGGGTTAGGGTTACGACTCTCGGAAGGAGTGGTGGGTGGTCGGGTGTCCGTCGGTGTTGATGGGGGTCGTTGGGTGGTGCTTGATGAAGGAGAATCTTCCACTGGGATAGGGGGCAATGGCCTGTCCTGCAGGTTGGTGCTGATGTTGGTAGGAGTCCTAGGGGGTATAGTGACTCTGCTGGCTTGTGGCTCTTTGGGAGGCTCCGGCTTCGACAGTACCAATTCACAACCATTGACTGAGTCCAGACTAGTGTAACCAGAGTGATGTTGACTTGCAGTCAGATCATTATTTGCGTGTGAATGGGCAGAAAAGTGAGGGACCAAGGGGTTACTGAAAGGAACTCTTTTATCCATGATCTGCTCCATAGTAGCTAGAGAGGATCGCCGGGATCCAGAGCCGACAGGTTTCCGCACCAATTGAAAAGAAGAAGGTCGGTGGGATTTGGCGCGGGATATACGGGAGATATCAGCGGAGGTTCTCAGAGTGCGCGGAGGCCGTGTAAGTACTGGGCATTCTTCTTCTACCTGAAATGTATCAAACTCAGGAAGATCTGGTAATCTATCGCCGGAGGCTTCGAAGCTCAACTCAAGGGGTCGAAACTGTCCAGGAGAAGGGAGAATAAAACTGTCAGGATGGAATCCCCTGGGAGAAGTTGCGAAGCTGGAGACTGTTCTGAATTCAGAGGGCCCACTAATTCGTAAAGGAGTATTTGACTTTCTCTTAAAAGTAAGACTCGCTCGTTTGGACCTTTGCCACGGCAGCCTACTATTCAGCTCCAGTGATGGAGTAGACGATGCCCAGGCTGGCGGACTTGGCCTGGGGAGAGCACTGTCGACGGCGAGCTTCATCGGGGGAACGAGATGAGGCTGCGTATGACATACTTTCATCTCTCGCTCGACCGCTAAGATAAGAGAAGGCTCAGCAACTTCCTTTAACTTTGCAGGATACGATATGTTAAGCAGGTAGACATACTCTTTCGCTTCAGAGACTGTTGGTGGTGGAAGCTTTCGTCATCGCCCCCAGAGCCCGGGCAGAAGAACAAGCAGGACGAGATCCAGCCAGCGCATACCGACGCTGCTTGCTCAATTGCCCGCTTCATAGCTGCCAGCGCTTCCAAGTCGTTGGTCCATCATCCAGTGGGGGTCCCAACCGTACGGAAAGAAAGAGAAGGGGAAGAATCAGATGCAGGAGGGAAAGACAGGGCACACCGGGCAAAACGCCCCATGTAAAAAGGGACCCCAAACGGGTGGACAACAATCAGCTCATAGGTGGCTGGCATAAAGCAGCACTGAAATCCTTGTGACCAACCCCGCGGTGGTAATAATATGGACCAGAAGCGAATCGGATTCGGTCTGTCCCTTTGTGCTTATGCATTGTGGGCGACGGTCAAAGTATGATGAGTTGGGTTGATAAGACCAAAAGAAACGCGACAAAGAGGTACCAGACCAAACGGATAGTCTCCTGACTCGTCACGTTGCTTTGATTGGATCCCCTCCTCAACAACGTGTGTGAAGCGGTCGATCTGCGGCGTGCTGACCTGCATGTGATTTGTTGGTTATCACGCCGCTAAACTGTTGGCTTCCCTGAGGCACCCAGAGTGGGCGCCTAAGGACGCACTGCCATTTGCCCCATCGAGCTTTTGCATTGAAGGTGCATCTGTCGAAACACGTTTCGCCAGTCACTGCCTTTAAACCCCCAAATGACGTGTAATTCCACTTGGTGCGAACATTGGACAGGATGGTGCCATGTTATCACACAAAGCAGTTGACCTGTCTCACCCGGTCTCTTGCCAAAGCAGTGGTGCATTGTCAGTGGTTGATGTCTGTACCCTAAACTTACTTTGGATCTGGTTTCGTGCTATTTATATGACTTCATCAGGCACCAAAAAAGAAACGTCCCCTATGTTCCCAAAAACAAAACAAGATGGGATAGAAGCAGAATAACAAAAAGTTAAGGAAAAAAAATAAAAAAATAATAAAATAACAATAAGCTAGAGAAGAAAATAAACCTATACACTGAAAATTGAAAGTAAAACATGAACCAACCCAAACCATGCGTATATGTAGTGAGAATAACTCTTTTATTGACCCCAAACGTTCTCCTCCAGCCCTTCATACGACCACCCTGGCGTCTTTGGGTCATCGTTGTCCGTGCCCTCGTCTCTTTCGGTCGGTTGCCTTACGCGTTCACTGGGGGAACCAGGACCCTCATGATGAGTGATCTCAGACTGTTCGTTGAAGGGGTGGCCGGATGGAGTCCTGGAAATTAGAGTTACATTAGCCCTAGGACTGCGGTTCCAAATAACAAACACTTACTGGAAATATCGATGTTCTGGCTCTAGCAACGCGGAGCCAGTCATTCTTTGGTGCTCAACTCGTTCTTTCTCTTCGGCTTCTCGATCTTCGACTACAAGATCAACTAATTGGCTGCGGTGTGAATTTTGAGAAGTAGGAGAGCTCGGGCCTCGCTGAAGAGGAGCCGGGTTTTCAGTACGCTGCCTTCGTGATTTGCTCGGTGTGCTATCACCCTTCGGTTGCGTTTCTCCGCTGCTGGGCGCACGCACTTTTCGGTGCTTGCGAGACTTCTTCACTACTTCTGGTTGTGAATTTTGATAGCTGAATGGAGTAGCTAAACGCTGATTTTGTGGCGCCTGATTTGCCGTTATCACTGGATACTGGGCAATATTAGCGCATGAAATTTCATTATACAGAACTGGTTTACATACATTCCAGTCACCAAACTCGAGCGCTCGAGCCTTGGTGAACAGCTGTTCATCTCCCTCGTCTAGTGTTGACTCCTCAACATCACTGGGCGAGCGGAACCGGTCCACGATACTGCCCCGTCTACTTGATTCGATGCCACCAAGTAACGGTGTGCGACTGTTGATCTCACCCGGCGTGGGGATCCAGTACTTGCCCTTCCCTCCGCGCTCATATCGCATGCCGTGCATCATCCGTCTTACCCGAGACTCAGACTCAGCGTGGGCCATAATGTGGTCTCCAGAGTCGAATAACCTGTACGCATAATTCTCGCCTCGCAGCGTCATCTTTGTGTCTTCGATTAGGTCTCTGATGCCAAAGGCATCCCGCAGCGCATATATTACTGGCAGCCGCGCGGATGAGATGGTTGGGTCAGCATAATCATGCCAAGAGAATGCATACCAATGAGTAATCGCGAATATAGGCATTTCAAAGCATATCAAGGAGTCCTGGATTGCAGCGGCGAGGTTGTCAGGAGTGTACCCCGCGACACCGTTGGATAGAGCTCCGAGCCACTGCAAGATGGACAAGAAGAAACCCTGCCAGTAGGAGGCAAAGATAATGAGTTTGACACAAAGGAACTTTGGCACGGGGCGGAATGGCGCTAGGTCGTGGTGAAGGCAAACCCAAAACATCGCCAGCGAGTACAAACTTATCGTGACGCTGACATTATACACAATCCCTGTCCAGAGGTAACCAGAGGTTAACCCCAAGTAGCCCTCTTGGTAGCTATCCGTGGCTTTCATAACGATAGAAACGATAGCTAGGATTGGCTTTAGCCAGGTATACTGGAGGATACCGCGCTTGACGGCCAGGAAGGTGTGCGGATCGGAGATATCGAGTTTCGGCAGGAAATGGTTCAGTGGCCAGGCATGTTGTACGGGAGGACGACCGTGGGTCATGATGATCAATGCTCGCTCGCCCCCGAGAAAATTGATGAGTAACTGGAAGAAGGTGTAGATCGTAAAGGCCTGAACGTGACTCGTCAGCAATGTTCATAGCTGCCTAGCTCGCTGTTTATACCTCATAAACATCGCGAATGGGATCCAACCAAAGAGACGCCTTCAGCGATACGATGCTTGTCCAGGAAGCAGCCGCATATATTGGAACCCTGATATGTTTAGTTCAACGCTGATCCTCCACAACTGAGCAAAAACTGACATCAGAAGTATACGAACGACATATCGTTGGAGGAGGGGTTTTCGATAGTTTTTCCTTATCGTTATACATCAGTGCAAGGTTGAGATGACCAAATAGATTGGTGCCCGTACGTTTGTAGCCATATCGACCTTTTGATAAAAGACAAATAGATGTTAGCAAAAGCGATATCATATCGGGTGTTGCATAGTGCGGGGAAGGATGTGCTCTCACAGAAGCGACAAAAGTGAAGCCACCAGGGACGAGACACCAGAAACGATCACCACAGCTTTCGCTAGGCTAGAGCCTGTACCTCCTGAGGATGACATGGTGACTAGTGTCAACAAGACTCGCGGTTCTCGACCGCGTGCACTTTTAGGTTTGCGTCCACCGGTAAAGCATTCCGCACCTTAACAAAAGCAGCGAAAAGAACAAAGCCAAATCATACCCCGTCCAATGAACTGAAGATTGTCAAAAGCCACCTAGAGCTCCTCCATAGACAAGGGAAGCACTCGCATGACCAGAAAGAAGGCCGTTGTGAAAAAGTTGTGTGGACTAGGAGGATCAACCCCCAAGCTGATATTACTAGTATCATTGGAGCTACCGGTTTCAGTTACAGCGGGCCCGTGACACCGCCTAAGGACGTAAGCATATGCGCCTCGCCGCATTTAGATTTACTCCGTTATCGCGACCTCCGCTGACCCCTAAAAAGTTACTTAGCTGAAATGAATTGACCCTTTTGCGTTGTATATTGTCTTCCGTTCGTTGGTGTCCCTCTACGGGACATAGTATAAGCATACCAGTATAATATCTCACTGGTATCTCTTTCTGCACTCAACTTGAAAGAAGGTTGATCGTCCCGCGCCGCCATGTTCGCGGCCATCAGAGATCTTGGGATATTGCAAGATGGCTAACACGAGTTTGTTAACCTTCGGCTTGACACCAGATCCAAGCTTTAATGTGTAAGTGTCAGTAAAATGCATGTATACTGGTAGCTTACGGCCGTATAGGTTCTTCTTCCTTGAACTCGTCGTTTCCTGCATATTGTAAGGTCATCGAACTCCGCGCAGTCCAGTGCAGGTCGCTGATTATAGATAGAGTGCTGTTCTTCTTACTTTACTTTAATCGCCTCTTTGCAACCCTTCTCTCGTACGGGATTCGCGCCTACACATGGCATTATTATCGCGCGTATGTCGACATCAATGCACTTCAGATTTCTTTGCTTGGGGGACGGATCTTCTTCAAGGGTGTCCGATACCACGGTGTGAATGAGACTATATTTGTTCACGGAGGCTTTATAACATGGCGTTATTGGAGGCGATCGGTGAGGAGGACATCTCTATACGACTTGAACACCAATGGACACGAAACGAGGGATGATGTGCGATCAGTCGGGGACGGGGATAATGATGGCGCCGGAGAGAGTGGATTAAAGGAGCAAGGAGGATTGAAAAGCGCAGATTCACTTCCTTGTCGTATTACTGCCAAGGTCTACGGGCTCGAGTGGTTCATATACAATAGGACACCGGCCTATGACGGTATCCTGGCAGGCTTCAACCCCCCAGAACAGCCAGCGACCTTCACTAAGCCACAGTACCCTGGAAGCAGCTCTTTGGATGCTGAGCTGAAAGATAATTCAACTAGGAATTCATCCGTCAGCGAAACCGCCCTTCCGAGATCTCCTCAGGCACGCAATACTCCGGGACGTAGTAGAACTGGCGGGGAAACAATTGGTTCTCACATTGTTGAAGGATCTAGTCAAGAAGTAGGTGATGGGCTTTCGAGGCTGCTTCGACTACTGCCGGTAAAGCTAGTGTGTGACAAAGGGGCTATCGTGATCGGTAATGAGAATACCAGGTCCGTTCTGACAACAACCTTTGACGGTGCGACTGGATTAATCGAAGTATGCGATGCTGGGCCACTTGATCTTTATCGGCAATCATTCTCTTTTG